GTTTTGTTCTTCAGTCTAGTTGTGGAGGACGTTGCTTCACTGGCCCAAGTTGGCACCATCATTGTGCTCTTCCCTGGTGAGGCAGACCAGTCGCCAGCTTCTGGACGGCTGCTCACAGCAGCTGCTGGCTGCTCACGCTGGCTACTGGCCACACACAGTAGCCCATGGCAACCTACTGCCACAAGGGCTGCAGCCTATGCTGTCGCCGGTGACTCATGGCAGCCCAGCTCCAGGTTGAGCTGTTTGTTGTTCAGCATGTTAGCTGTGGAGGGCAGTGTCACTGGCCCTCACATGTGGGATCCGAACCGGGGCCCTCTGGCGTCCCAAGCCAGTTCTTAACCATTGCGCCACTCAGTCAGCCTTGTTCAGGTTTGTTTTAAGGCAAGTCTTTTAATACAGAGCCTTGATTAAGAGTAGGGAAGCATCATAATATAGAAGATTAAGATTGGTAAATACAGCAAGGTGAGGTTTTTGAAGCAAGGTTTTCTAAAAGTCCTTGAGAACAAATAATCATTTGATACTATCTACTGAAAAGTCAAACAGTTTGATGTTAATTAAAGTGAGTTTTTCTGTAAGTTCCTAAGACAATAAAATTACTTGCAACTTTTATCTTTCTGAGCAAGAGGTTTCTGGAATAATAGAGTCATGTTGTTGAAGATGGTGGAATAGTAAAGTCATATTAATGTACACAGTAAGCTATGTGGGTGTGAATGGTTTTGGTTCTCATGTACAATATTTGAGCCTTCAAGTTGTATAAGAATTAAGGATACATTTCTATGGAATTATAACAAAAGTTATCATACACACAAAAAATGAAGTTCATAGGAAATGTTCACGTGAAATCACTGTTCATTATCAACTTTTACAAAACAAAAAATTTTTTTTTCTGACTCCACATCCTAATGGTATGTATGTGTCTTTTCTTTATGAAATATTTAAATAGTTTTTAATACCATTTCACTGTTATCAAGTGATAAGAATTTAAATATATTGCATTTGTCTACTTTGGGAACTAAATACATTAACCATTTACAAGACAACAGTGTAAGTGGATGACTTAGAGTATTTAACATATCTGAAATAAAGATTTTGTATGTTCATTTATTATAATTTCAGTCATTAAGTACAATTTGTATTATTTCTTTTTTTAGAAGGGTCCTTTATGGGATCAGAAATCTGCAAGGGTTTAGAAATGAATGAGTTTAGAAAAGAAAAAAAAAACACTGTTTTTTTCAATTTGACTAGACAAACAAAGCTTACATCATAGTCTTGGAAACCATCACTAGCCTTCCCAATTCAATCCCCCCTTTATCCTATTGTGAATATTTCCAATGAGGAATAAGAACAGTATAAAGTTTCTCTTTGTGGCATATTTTATTATTCTTAAAATATTCTTAATGGTGAGCTAAAATCTATTCCCTTTGTTCCCTCCTTCCTTTATTCTTCTTTCTGAAAACATACAGAATAAATCCCCCTTCTATTCAGTTTAGCATATTGAAGACACTACCACAATTATTGGGTTTTGCTTTTGTTTTTAATTGTATTTTTTCCCAAGATAGGCAGCCTGAGCTTACTGAACTATTCCTCTATTTCAGAGATATTCAGTGTGTGGACTAGGACTAGTCCATGACAGTTTCTTACCTTCTGGGAAATCTACAGCAAGATAAGGATCTGTGCCAGAATATAAATCAACATACTGCTTCCTTCATTGAAAAAGTGCTAGCTGAATTAAACAGTCTGTCCAGTGATATAGCTGCTTTACACTGCGGCACCGTGTAAACAGTTGAACCAACTAGTTTGATAGCACTTGCTCCATATAACATGATTTCTAGATTCTCTAATCATTCTTCTATATACCAGCCTCTGGAATATAAGCAACGTTTCCAGATATTCTGCTAAAAATATCATGGAAAATATTGTTAGCTGATGCTGTTGTATTTATAAATAAAAATTGATAAGAGTTATAGAAAATGGAAGGTGACATAAGATCTCTGTAGAGCTGTCTTTCAAACTGTAATGGAGAAATAGTGAGTAGAGTTTATATCTTACACCCTTTCCAAGACATACTCGGTATACGGATGTAATTAATCAAAGAAACCAAGAAAAAAATAAGAAGAACGCTCAAGATAGCATTTCATATTTGGGGTATGTGTATGGCACTTTACAGTTTACCACAGCCCCGAGGAATTATCATCATCCTTAGTTTTTAACCTTCCTCCATCTCCCCTTTTCTCTGCCTCCAATTTCCAAGTTATTTTCACTCCACTCCACTCCACAAAACCTCAACAGGAGCCCGTTTCATCTCCATAATCTCCCCATGCTATGTATAGTAAATGAAAGACAAAAAATGCTGCTCAAGCAGGTATCCAGTTAGAGCAATCTGGTAAGCAAAGGTGAAAGGGTGAATCCTGGTAGGATTTTATCTACAGAAGCCCACGTGTGCTACCTTTGTCCTCTTGATCAGAAACCATCAAGTGCAGTTGGTCTCTTCCTTAGGAACGGTATGCTGTTTATTTTTAAAAGCCACGGCAACAAAAATATTAGAGGTATAAACCTTTGCTATACTGGTATTCAAGGACAAAGATGAAGTGTTTTCTGGAGTGTTTCACAACTCTGTTTTGCTTTCAGGTATTCCAAAGCTGATCACATCTGATATGATTAAAGAAGGTGCTGCTGTGATTGATGTGGGCATCAACTATGTCCACGACCCAGTGACAGGAAAGACTAAATTAGTTGGAGATGTGGACTTTGAAGGTAATAAACTATGTATCTTTTGATAAGTGAAGAAAAAGAAAGATTCTATTTTGTATGTTTTGATGGTAGATAAACTTTCTATTTGATGGGGGCATTATTAAGTTATTAATCATTATATGCCTTTCCTCTGAGGAAAAAGAGTTTAGTCACACTTACATACTTCCTTCCTGCCTCCTCTCTCCTTCTTTTCCTTTTTCCTTCCTCCCCTTTCTCTTCCTTCCTTCCTCTCCCCCTTCTCTCCCTTCTTGGGAGGAAAATATAATTGCACCATTAATATTTAACTTTAAGATTAAACTCCTTGCAGTGCAGTGTTTTGTGAAAGAATTCAGCTGGCCTTTCATAGCAGGCATCATTTTGATTTCTGGAGTGTATCTCTGTACCTCACCATCTGTGCTCTGTCCTCAGCAAGCCCCTCTGAGAGCCAAGGCACCTTTGGGTGTGTTTGCTGACCCTAACTGTATTTCAGATCTAGACAACTCTGGGTAATTTGGCATTCTTCACGTGTGTTTTAAACAAACTGAGGAAGAGGAACTAGGCTAACATTTCTATGGCCAATGAAGGAGCTAAGGCAGCCAATAGGTAGTAATTAAAAAAAAAAAAATCTAACCCAATGCTTCATCTCTACAGATGAGGAAAATGAACCCCGACACAGATATGTTTTTAGATGTCTGACCCCTAATCCAATATCTTTGTCAGCTACTTACCTGCACTCAGGTTTTCAGTATAGTCTAGGAACCGTAGATGTCTAATAAAACAAGAATATAGTAGAGGGAGATCTTTTCATATTAGAAATATTTTATGTATCAGATTGATCATTCTGTCCAGAAAAAGCAGGGCCATGCCAGGACTTCATTAATTAAAGGTATGTTTTACAGACAAACCAAAAGGAATTGGTGAGGAAATTTTAAAAATAATTCAAATTTTACATTTCTGCTTGGGATCTGGTCCTCAGCTCATGGGTTACCAAATCCCAGCAGAGTATTGAATAAAGCTGAACATGTAGGCACTCAGAAGTGTCCTCGGATATTGGCCCCGTGTATATGAGATTCCAGGGCCCATCAGGGACCAGACCCAGCAAGCAACCTGAACCTCACGCTAGAAAAGAAACAAAGGGAAAACCTGAGGGCACATATATGCAGCAGTACACCCTGAGGACAGAATAGTGAATGAGAGCAAAGTACAGATGGACCTTATCAGAGAGCACGCTGCTGCCCTCACAGGCTGTCATGCCCAGGCTCCCTGCCAGGGATAGAGCTTCCAGCCTGGCAGGTGGCTCTCCATGTGGACATGTGTGTCTGCCTGTATGTGTGTGTGTGGTATGTGTGCATGCTGGTCTCTTTAGGAAATGACCTCATTTCTTTATTTCGCATTCACTCACTCATGTCAGAAAGCAATAATTTATTGGAATTTCTCAACTTGAAAGAGTAAGGATATATCGGGGTGCCAAAAAAATTTATACAAGCGGACACTTTGGTCAACATTGCTCAAGCAGTAGTTTGCCGTAATCAGAAGTGTCTGGACGCTGATGGTAACCACTTTGAGCACCTCTTGTAATTGCAGAAGTCAAACATGACTTGTATTCATCTTTTGTTATCAGTATATATTGAGTATTACAATTTTAATACAGTTTTTCTTTCTTAAAATATGTATACATTTTTTTGGCACCCTCTGTATTTCATTTCAAGACTTGACCTTATTTCTTATTTTTTTTGCACTGTCATTGTGCTTCTTGATAACATTTTAGTTACCATGTGTTAATTGCAAAATCACCACACTTATGATACACCCAGATGGCACAGATGGCATGTAATAGCCAGCTCGAGGCAAGAAAAGCAGGAGTGTTTTCAGTTCAGAAACTTGACTGCTTGTGGGGCAAACTTACCCAGCACTTCAACACATCTCATAAGACCCTTCCTTCTCTTATATGTTAGTTCATTGGTCTCAGATCATTTCCATGCATTCTTTTTTAGCTAAGAATGTTTTTTGCTCATGAAGATATTCTGAAAATATCTTAAAATGAGCATTTTGGAGTAAGTGTATATGCTTTTTGACACATAGATATGCACTTTAGGTTGCATACTTGGTAAAATGTATTAAATTAAATTGTACTTGTGCACATATCTAAGTATATAATGAAATGAAAAAGGAAATGACAAAAAGAAACAAAGATATGATAAGAACAGGAAAGAACATTGGGCTGGGAGACTGAAGAGGTGCTTTTAGACCTAGTATTGCAACCTTTCTGGCCACCAATGTGGTTGTCAGCTAAATGGTATCAAGGACAGCAATGGCTCCTTTTATTTCTAATGCGTAGTGCATCTTGCACAGTCATCTAAGTGCTACCAAATGATTGTCTAAACACAGAACCTTTAGAAGGTCAGATTTTCCTGATGCTATCCAAAAATGTGCCCATACGATTGATAATATCACTCGTGGTACCCTGCTGGATCATGGAGCCGGAGCCCTAAGGAAGATAAAGGCCTGTACTTGATAAAGAAGGCCTTGCCAGCTAGGCCATGACTCAGCCACCCAGAGGAGCAGGCAAGTGATGGGATTTGACATGTAGTTCTTCAGGTTGTTCATCAGGACTTAACCTGAGGTGAGGGATGATCCCTTAACCTGCCAGGGAGGAACTTTAACTTGGGTTATGCCACAAAGCTCATAGGTAGCATGTGGCTGAATTGCCATAGGGAAAGTGTGGCTGCTTTGTGAGTATCGGTGAAAGTTTCACTTTAACTATAGCCAAGATCAACAAAATGGATGTAGATAAAATCAAATGATGCACTAAATAGTCCTTGCAGAAATCTTTGGCTCACTAATAAAGGAAAGAAGACGACCTATTTCAAGTAGCTTCCTTTGATGGGAATGATTTCTTAAATAATAATGTCGTCAATGACCCCATTTGGGGAATATTGGAAATATGTAAGTAATTACAAATTCAATGCTCTGTAAAACCTGGAGTCTAAGAAAATACAGATGCCTATTTGTAACCTTCTTCATTAGGAGATGTTTTGGCCTCAGTTTTGAATGAAGCTCCTCTCTAAGGAGAGTGACATTTTATATCAGGTATAGCATGAGGGTTGCATCACCACTTACGATGGTTCTTGACAAAAGGAGACATAAAAACTCCCTAAATATTTCTTTTTGACTTTAATGTCAGGTTTAGATATAGTTTCCTCCAGAGCCCACCTTCTTTCATCTACTAGGGCTTTCTGCCCTCATTTTTCCTCTGCTCCATTCTCTTCTCCCTTCTTTCTTCTTTCTCCTCCTCCTGAGCCCGGAATAGAGTAGAATAGCCCTTCCTGGGCTCAGTTAGTATATGGTGGTCAGGACTAGAGGCGGCAGAGAGAGAAACAATTGTTGTTCCTCTCTCCACCACTGCTCCAACAATTCCCTGCCACCTCAGTCACAAAACTGCCAATTTTCTTAGAGAGGTGGCAGGTAAATCTAGTAGAAAATTATCTCGAGAGTAAGGAAGGTGTGAGAGGCTTTTCTCCATGAGGACACACTGTTCTCAAGTTATTTAGAATTATTCTTCATTTAGTAATAATAGTGTCTAGTGTTTGAGAAGTACTTACAATGTGCCTAGGTACCCTTCTAATTCTTTTACATAAATTATTCATTTAATTCTTATGATAACTGCCTAAGATAGATGTTGTTATTATCCCCATGTTACAGGGGCACACAGAGGCTGGAACTCTTGCTTGAGATGACGCAGTGATGGGCACTGTGGGTTCATACACAGCATTTATAATTTCTACCCTTTATTATCTCTACTGTCCTGCACTTCACTTAGTTAATACTTTCCTTTTGGAAATATGAAGTTCCTCCTTTTATTTCCCCTCCCCCAGAACATGTATAATAACAAGTTTTAAAAGTGCCTGGACGATGGTGTGGGTGTACAACAGTCCTCACTTTGCCTGGCTCTGCTATGCAGAGATTTCAGTTGCCATGGTAACACCACTCTCCCAAGAGGCTGGCTTGAATTTCAGTTCACATGGCACATTAACTGTAACTACATGAAGTGCAATCTTCTCTGCTGGCATCTCAGTCCACAGATTATTATGTAAATACCAAATGTGCATAGTGATCTCTGACCAATCATGCCATTTCTTTCAAAGTCTTGTTGGTGATTCGTCATGACCCATTCAGTTCAGACAACAAAGTGTATAGTTCTGTGGACTCCTATAGTTCTGTGGACTCCTTGTGGAACTTCATGATTAAACCTCATGACATTTTAGAAAAATTGATCGTGGAAAGAGGGAATTGCCAGCAAGAAAATGAACAGTGATGATATTGAAAGTAAAATTTGAAATAGCTAATGTGGGATATTGACAAATGGCACCATTTTCTATTTGAAAGACTCTAGATATACAGCGAGAGGAACTTAGTGAAAGCAAATTTATCGACATGTACAGAATGTCCCAGGACAGATCAGAGGTGAGGCTGGGATGCCAGACACATGAGGTAGCAGGCAGGCCAGCCATGGCTGCATTGGGCTGTGTCAGTTGATAGGTGGGCTGGGGACCACAGGGTGGGAGTCTGCTTTGGATCCAGGGCCGGTGGACTTGGGAGATCAGGCTATTACTGCTGCCATGAAGCTCCGCTGGGGACCGAGGGCCAGGACATACTTTAAGGCAGCCCAAGCAAGCAGGCCTGGGTCATACTTTCTGGAACTGGGGATGAGAAAGCCTCAGCTGCTATTCCTGGGCCCAGGGCTGCACAGAGCCCACAAGACCTCATGGGTCTCCTGGTTCATGTACTCAAGTTTTTGTTTGAGCCGGGTGGGGCATACAAGTTACCTGCTGTTAGAACACAAGCTGTGGATACATACCCAGAAATGTGATTACTGGATCACATGGTAGTTGTTTTTTCAATTTTTTGTGGAAACTCCAAACAGTTTTTCAGAGTGGCTCCACCAACTTGAAATACCTCCAAAAATGCACAAGGGTTCCCTTTTCTCCACATCCTCTCCGACACTTGTTCTTTCTTGTCTTTTT